CCAAGGCACATCCCTGTGGACTGCCTTCTGTTTTACGGGACAACTGTTCTCATAGGAATCTTTTATTGCATTTGTTAGATTGTCAGATGATGCCTCTAGCTCTTCTATTGTATTTATGTCAGAAGGGAGTTCATCGAGACTCAGGCAGAGACCCTCCACAAAGGAAACCTAGTTGGTGAGTTTTGGGATTCTCGTCTGTACTGAGTGATTTATTACTGCCTCTAAGTCGAACCTTATTGCTTGATGGTCCGACAGGGAGGGTTCATTTGACACAAGCCAATTGGTTATTGTGTTAGATGTAAATGTGTCAGCGAGAGTCACGTCTAAGACATCTTGTCTGACGGCGTTGATGAAAGTGGGTTTGTTACCTTTGTTGATAATGTCTATGTTGTTAGAGTTCAAATATTCAAAAAGGTACTCACCCCTTACGTTTGTATCGGTGCTTCCCCATCCTACCTGGTGATGGGAGTTGGCGACTGCCCCGATAATGTAGTGTCTGATTCTCGCTCTGCACCACGTGATGAGTCGTTGGACGATCTCTAGCGGTGCTGAGTTATCATCACCTGGAAAGTAGGCTGAGGCTATGAGAATATGCCTCGAGCCCCCTTCCGTTGGCACTTCTACTAAAGCAGCTGCCTAGTCTTGTGTGATGAACTCTGGAACAGCTAAGAATTTTAAATTTTTGTCAAGCATCATGGTCATCATGCTCTTGGTCTTTCGTGGTTAATGTTGTAGATTAACTTACATGATTTGATATTTAGGCCTTTTATAGAGCCTCCATTGACCCAGGGCTCTTGAAGTAGCCCTACGCTGATTTTTTGTACAAACATTCTTCTTCTAAGCTCACTAGTGGCAGCTTTTGAGTGTTGAAGATTTATTTGAATGCATTGGATGCTTGGTGAGTTGCTTCTCTTTGGTTGCTTGGAGGAAGCCATTAGAGTCGCACTCACTTTTCGGACTCCACCTGGGCACTTTAATCTTTATGACTCATTGAGTCTTAAGACGTTTCTGCCCTTGGTTCGGCGCCGCTTTTCTTTGGGGAGCTTGGTTGCTGCCTCCGGATTTGAGTTTTTCTGCGGATGCACTGACCACAGAAAAGGTTAGTGTGACCAGGTGGCCCTCGGCGTTACGTCGGATGACTCGCCAATTTTTGACGTTTAGGCCCTCATTTTGGCCTTGAACAAGATTGAGGATTTTCTCCGTGGAGTAATCCATGCTGCTTGGGAATCGAGCAACCAGGACGTCAGAGTGAGGAATGTCAGATTCCTCTACCATCTTCAGCGAGGCTCCCTCCCAAGGCTTGATGGGGGCGACTGCAGTTTGCAGCCACTGCTTGGTGGCTATGTTTTCGCAAACTAGAGCGAACCAGCCGGGTCTGTTGTGGGCTCTCAGAAACTTCGGTTTGACCGGGCAATCCGATGCTACCTCGTCCACGATTTTATCCATAATTGCCCCTCTGGTGGCTTGAATTTGCTCCACTGACAAAAGGCAATTGGGGAAGTCTGTAGGTAGTATTCCTACCTTTATGCCTCCAGCTATCTGGCTGAAGGTTGGTTTCGGAGCTCTGGAAGGCGGAGCACTGCTGCTCGTTTCCTTTTTTTTATGGGCGGGGCATTTCTGCCCGTATCCTTTGTCCTAGCTCTTTTTCTCGCTTGAGCCTCGGGGGTGTTTCCTTCTGACCGGGCTCTTTTTTCGCCCTTGTCAGAGGTTTTAGCCCTTTCTTTGATGGGCTCAAGGGCTTTTTTGCGGGCTTCGTCTGAACTCATCCCTTTTTTTTTGAGGAATTTCATCCTCTTTCTGGCAGCGCCACTCAGCCTGATCCTCACGTCGCCCTTCAGTTGTAGGGCACTCAGATCTTTGCCGAGTTCTTCGTCTGAACGTAGAAGTTCTTCTTCTACGTCAGTGGGGCCTTTACAGTCCCCTAATTCCATGTTTTCGGATGTGCTTGAGGCGCTATCATCCTTCGCCTTGATTGTTTTTTGTTGTGTGTCCATGTTAGGTCCCACGAGTAGCTAGGGAAGTAAACCATACGGCCGAGGCAGAGCCCCGCTTGCCCCGGTCCGGCTAGTTACGCCGTGGGGTCGCCACATCCCTGGAGTTCGCACAGTATCGATTAGGCTTTCCCCTAACCACGCAATCCTTGACCTATGCTGTTCCACCGTGACTTGGAGGGATTTTTATTGTGGTTCGCCGTCCACTTGGCCAGCCAGTTAAGGCAGGCCTTCACGCCCTAAGATACTTCCTCATCAACCACCGATCTTAGAGCGCGAGATATACCAGGCAGGTTTCCACGGAGGGCAGTCGACTCGGCCCTATCCCGAAACAGGGCCGCGAGACCCAGATTGCGGGCTGAGGCCGAATCGAGTGTCCTCCTCCACGCTGTTTGTCTAGCAGACACCCAGCATACCAGGATGCTGTGTGTATGCTTTCCTGGTATGGTGAGCCACCCTTGGTCACGACCAGACGTCTCGACATCTCTGCAGCGACGTACGGCCGCTGAGCCTCTCCACGAACGGCAAGGTCCCGTGACTTTCCAGAGAGGTAGGTAACTTTAATACTTTAAAATTTAAAAAATTTCATATAATAGAATTTGCTATAAATGCCACCAAACGCGATAATCCCAAAAGGCTTATCACTTGTTAAGCCTCTCGTGTCATATGGGAATAATGTACAGTGAGTTGTATAATCTACCTAATACCTTGCCGGTGTTCATGATGCAGAATCAGATTTCACCATCCATTATCCATTATCGTCATAAATTTTGTTCGGAATTTTTCCCTGTACCTTTTTTAACTACTTATCTTTACCTACCTCTCTATCTTTCTTACCTTATAATTATACTGCTGTTATCGAGGATGTTAACGTTGTGGCCTAATCCATATTTGTATTAGGGAGTATGGATGTGAGTGTGCTCTAACATTCCTCAGAAGGAAATCCTTCCGAATAATGAGAAGAGAAAAATAAAAACAAAAATTTTGATTTGATTTGCCGCGCGCGTGATTGCTCCGAGGTGTAGTTTTTTCAAGTTTTCCCTTATACGAGTCGTGCCAACTTCTGTTTAAGTGATTTCTCTGTGCAGCGTGGGCATACAGTTTTTGAAGTGATTCTCTAGAGTCTAGAGGAATCAAGTCCCTCACGTGTCGATACCTGAACCTCCACATTTGACAAAGTAAATTGATTACTTTTACTGACATTACCTACATTTAGGGCGGGTATTATAAAACTATTAACTTAACTTGTGAAATTACTATGGAAAGTAACGTCGTTCCAGAAGTTAACTTCTAAATTAACTGTCAAAATAGTTTTATAATACCCATCCTTAATAGTAGATTATACCACGAGTCAATAATGATAGCTATTATTCCCCAGGAATATTTACGAACTGAGCCGCGTTAGCGGCGAGGGAGTAATGTTCCGAGGGAATAATAGCCATTATTGCGAGTAGTATACTCTACTTTATTTACGACAAATTAATTTGAGATTTTTAATGAACAAATTTCATCCATCTCAATTCTCAATACAAATCCACAAGCACTACACGTTTGACACTGACACTCTTGAGGGATATTGACCATTAATCCCCTACTCGTCAATATTTCCTGGGGGAATAACATATGGCATTATACAGCCAAAATCACAAGTATAATACTTATATTATACATTAGTCGTAAATAAATATTTGAAATTTCAATTCCGCTTTCTTGACACCGAAGTGAACTTTAAATAATTATTTCTGATTTTTAATTTATCGAATTTATTGTAGATTTATCTTTGCTTAACTTTTGGTACCGCCAGGATTAAAAAATGTATATTTTATTAATCCATAATTATTACTCTGAACTGAGGTCAAGGTTGGACAATATGTTCTAAATTAAAAATTATTGATTAAGTACCTACACCGACAAAAATTGATCAATTTTTCACCTGGATTCTGTAATAACTTATATACTTGAGGATTTCGGTTATATCTCCTTTATACCTTTAACCTTTGATTTCATACAGTCTTTAATTTGATTTTAGTGATTTTATTTTTCTGGTAGCAGCTGATCATATTTATCCATATAATATTATAATATTCAATCATTAATTTTTTTATTAATTTTCTTGAAACTTAAATCCTTCATTTTTTTTTTCCAATCAATGATATGGCCAGCAACTGTTCATGAACTTATGTGTCAAGTATATTGAGGTACATTGAAGTATTATTTTAGAAATTTAATTTCTATGCTGGTAGGCAAATCCAGCGGGTTAACACCTGTCGAGGTGGTAGAAATTTAATTTCTATGCTTAATTTCTATGCTGCAGCGGCAGTAGAAGTACTTTTAGTGCCGCTGGAGCGGCAGCAAAAGTACTTTTAGTGCCGCTCGTACTTTTACTGCCGCTTGACCATTCAGTTGCGCCCGAGCTTACCCATTCGTTTGGAGAAAAAATAGCGTGTTGCATACGGAGTAGAAGCACTTTTTTGTGCTTCAGCAGTATTGCAAGCCTCACTACGTTCGGCTCGCAAACCTACTGCTTCAGCACAAAAAAGTAAAGCTTATTATTCAATACTTGATTTTTGACATCACTGTGAAAATATATTCTATTTTGATTTGAAATTGCTTGATTGTTTTATTGGCTTTACCTATATCAAGGTTTGGTTGAGTTTTATGCCTTTTTTATCTCCTTTTCAGAATTATTTATTACCGTTTGCTGATTATTTTTTTTTAGGTGTGTTTCTGAATTTTCACACTTCAATATTCCATGTAATCTATTTATTTTACAAATTCAGTGGCCCCCTTGCCATTCTGTACTTATTAAACTATTGCCACCCCTAATAATTATTCGCTGAGCAAACTGAGCATATTTTGGGCTTCCTGTTAAATTGATAACAAAAGGGGTTACAGTATACCTATGTCTTTCACCTGTTGGCTTTATTATTCGAAAAAGTGTTATTAGCTCATTCGTTTTTTTTTTTTTTTTTGTTCGAAACTACTTAAAACTGATTTTATTTTTTACAGAAACATTAGTGCAACTACCGACGAAGAAAAAACATCTCAAAAAGAAGAAATTTTACCACCAATTGATGCCCTTTCTTCTATTGTAATAGTGAAGGTAGAAACAGTTATGGATACTCCATGCGACTCCTCAACTTTCAATGCTCCGCTTAAAGAAGAATTTCCTTGTGAAACTTTGAATGGTGCAACCAACGATGATATAAAAAAAATTACTTTCAAATGTGATGTTTGTTTCTTCATAGGAACAAGTAGATTCGCTTTAGCTAGGCATAAGGAAACATGTAAAGCAGTTGAACCTTTAATTGTGCCTGAACTCTCGGAAAAACTTGAAGAAGAAAAGTATTTCGCTTTAGCTAGGCATGAGGAAAAATGTAAAGCAGTTGAACCTTTACTTGTGACTGAACTTTCGGAAAAACTTGAAGATGGAAAGTATTCCAAGGCAGTCACTTTTAACTGTAATGTTTGTGATTTTTCCGCTACCAGTAGATTTGCTTTAGCTCGGCACAAAAATAAGCATCAAAACAATGAAGTTGAAGATAAGAGAATTATTTTTGATTGCGAGTTTTGTCCATTTTCTGCTTCAAGTAGGTTTGCTTTAGCAAGACATCAGGAGGAACATGTTGATGTTAAAGAAGAGAAATTCAACAATTCACTATTGGAAGAAAAATGTGTTCCGGTCGAAACTACTAACCAAATGATTCCTAAAATGCGCGTGTTCAAATGTCGATGGTGCCAGTTTACGTCAAAGTTTAGATTTGCTTTGAAGAGACATGCATTAAGGCACAGAAAACCTGACACATTCACCTGTCCGCGTTGCTTTAATTTGGTGCTAACCGTATCAAAAAGTGAGCATTTATTAAAGTGTAAAAAGAAGTGCGAACATTTCACATGTGACAATTGTCCCTATAAAACTATATATAAAAAAATGTTTATGAACCATCAAAGCACATGCAAAAAAGAGTTATCTACACTTGACGTGCCTGCAACTATTCAACATCAAACAAGTGAGAAAAATGAGTCCAATCAAAAATGTAAATATTGCCCATTTACTACAAAATTTTCTTCGACCTTGAATAAACACCTGGAATCACATAAAGCAGTACAGCCTCTGTTAAAATATCCTAAAGTGCTTGCAACAGATAAACAACATCAGACAACTGTGCAAAGTGAATCACACTTCCAATGTAAATATTGCTCTTTTTCTGCAAAATTTCTCTGTAACCTTACAAATCACCTAAAAGCGCATTCCTTGGGAAAGCCTATCTTTAAATGTAGACATTGTAGCTATAGATCGACTTATTCTGCTGTTAAAACGCACAATCAAACAAACCCTGCTTGTTACCTAAAAAATGATGTAGGAATAGATCGCCGCAGAAGTAAAGAACTGCTCAAATGTGATCAATGTACTTTCAAGACATCATGGCTGCCAGCTTGGCATAAACATCGCATTTCACATCGTAGGCAAAAAACTGAGAAAAGTGAAATTATCAAATGTCCAGAATGTCCTTTTAGAACACATCAGAAGACTACCTTCGAGAATCATCTTCGTTCACATGAACATAATAACGTTCGCACGAGAAATACAATTACTGAATGCAAAGAAGGCCCTTCCAATACAGAATTGATGGCTGCTAGTGACACCCATGAAAAATCAGAGGTGTTTCAAGTAGGAAGTGAAAACGCCAATAATACTACTAAAGATGATCAAAGTGCACAAAACTCAAATATAGAATATAAATGCAAATTTTGTTCAGTCACACTCACTCGACTACATTCATGGAGAATACACATTGGAAAACATAAAAAACTTCCTGTTTATAAATGTGACAAATGCAATTTTACAGGTTTTAAATGTAGCGTTGGAAAGCACATGAAAATAGAACATAAAAATGAGAAATTCTTGGAGCAAACACGGGCAATTTGTCATCGTATGAAAGCTGAGAATTTGAAAAGGCACAGAAGAACTCACGAAGGCAAAAAAATTAAAACTTTGCCTAGGGATACGCATATAAATGGGTTGAAAAAATTTTGTTGTGAGTTGTGTTCGTACAGTGCTATAACTAAAAACCAACTCATACTTCATCAAAAAATGCACATAAAAAATGATAAACCGATTGTTCAGTGCACTCTGTGCGACTACAAATCGTTTCCACACCAGTTAACAAGACACTATAGAAACGTGCATAATAAAGTTAAATTTAACAAGCAAGCAATGCATTATTGTAAAATTTGTTCATTTTCTTCGAAATTCAAAGCTAGTGTACACCTTCACACGCAAAATCAACATACGTTGCGTAAATGTGACATGTATGAGTGCGATTATTGCGAATTCTATTCGACTAAGTACAGCCTTAGAGTACATGTGGCCAAAGTGCACAGACAAGCAAAAGATTCAAGCTGTGATTGACAGCTTAACATCCGTAAAGTGTTTAGAAAATTGTCACACGTTGAAACGTTCGCATATAAATTATTTCAGTTTTTTAAATGTTTTTTTAATTTAGTTGTTCTAGTTTTAGGTTTAATATCTTGATTTTAAATTAAATGCTAACATGTACTACATTTACAGTCATATTGCAGGTGTTTACTTTCAAAATGACCTCTTTGTCTTGCCTTTTTGACTTTCAGTTCAACAATACAATACATTATAGGGTGGAGGAAGAGTCCTATATGTTACTCATATTTTAGTTTCTTTTTTTCCCAGTTGAACGGTGAAATTTCTCGAGGTTCATATATTACTAATAACAGGTATGTTAGAAATCATTTTTAGCAAAAAAAAAATCTATTTTTTGACAAACAATATTTTGTGGCAGTCTCTAAATTAATCTTTACAGGTATTGCTAATGGACAATGAATAATAATTATGAACGCAACAATTTTTTTCCACTAACCCCTTATACAATGATGTTCCCAATACATATATGGGTAAAAGAAAGCACAGAAATATCTCTACTTTTATTTCTTCCCTCTACCAGGGTATACATTTTTACATTAATTTTAAATAAGTTGAATACGTCACAACTTTTTCATGTACAGGGTCTGTTCCTTATAATTAGTGCAGCTTCTATAGCCTAAACAAAAAAAAAACAAAAAAAGTCGAATACAAAAGCTGTACGGTTTTATCCCTATTATGTTTTTCAAATGTCAAAACGGGCAAATGACAGGTACCGACTGTCATAATGACAAACACTTGCATTTTTCAAATGAAACGCCCTATATATTTTTGGCTAGAATGATAGATTTTTTCCTTCCAATTAGAAATCTTTATCTATATATATAAAACACAGTTGTGTTTTGTGGAAGCACTTAGGTATAACTCGAGAACGGCTGGACTGATTTTCATGAATTTTGCTTTATTGGATTTGTCTTTCAAACCATGTGGATTTTATTGTCACACGCTGTGCACAAAAACAGTTTGAGGAAAGCACTTTACTTTCAATTGTTCTTCACAATAAAAATGTCCAAAAATAAATAGAATTACAATGTGTTAATTGTGTATTTTATTTTATTGTTGGTCCATTTCGAAAGAGCGCGAACTGGTCTTCCTGTCATGTCTTGACGCTTGACCATTGACGTTCTGTGGCTAAGTTCCGTTTCTCCTCTCATGCATCACTTGACACCCGTGTTCCGTGCTGACTGTTCGGAGTGCTCCGTCCGGCTGGTGTCAAGTGGCAGAGAGCCAGGTTATGAGTCCGCCACAACCATTTTGTATACGGCGCCATATATGATACCTAGAACGAAGCTCACCGATGCGCGGTAATTTCATTGCAGATGCAGTAGAACAATGATGCTCAGGAACTGGAGATATTTAGAACAGAACTATTCCACTATTCTGATCAGATAGAGTGGTGCAGCAAGAGTAGATCAGATAGAATAGTGCAGATAGAGTAGAACAGATGGAGTAGTGCAGATAGAGTGATACAGGGCTGCGCTGTAGATTTTTTTTCTGTTTTCTTTACATTCTTTGAACATTCCTGTGCCTGAGTTTATTTATTTGGTGGTACACTTTACAAGAATAATGCCCACAAGCTGCCTAAAAAAGGATGATGTAAAATTTTAATTTAAGGTGACTTCTGATCCAGAGAGTAAACATTAATTTTCTTCAACCAAAGCCAAATTCACCATCGAAAAAAACTGAATTTAATTCAGCTAATAGATACGTTAACACGACATTTAATAGGTATATTTAATCATTCAGAGGCGGTACGAAGTTCGCCGGGTCAGCTAGTATACCATATATGTTGATATTTGGTTCAGCTGTTTTTACACTATTTAAGTTTAAATATGCATTTACTAAATAAGGTCTGTTCCTGGTTTCTTATATTAGGATGAGGCTTGCTCAATGCAATTTCAAAATGAAATATAGCTCAAAAACAGTTGAACCAAATATCAACATGTACCGATTGTATATTTAGAATCAAAAGAAAAAATCATTATAGCCAAAAATATACAGGGTGTTCCATTTAAAAAATGCAAGTGTTCGTCATTATGACGGTCGGTACCTGCCATTTGCCCGTTTTGACATTTGAAAAACATAATAGAGATAAAACTCTACCAGCCGTATGCAACATCCTCTTTTAACTTAAAAGCGCTTTTTAAAACTGGTCATTTGATTTTTCTAAGCAATACAAATTTTTAAAAGTAACCAGTTTTAAAAACCGCTTGTAAGTTAAAAGAGTATGTTGCATACGGCAGTAAAACTTTTGTATTTAACTTTTTTCATTTTTTTTTTGTTTTGTTTAAAGCTGTAGAAGCGGCACTAATTATAGGGAACAGACCCTGTACAGGGTCATCCAACGAGGACTGAACTGGGGCTTATTTTGAATTTCCCTGTATTTGTGAGAAAATCCAAAATAGCCAATTGGATTATTTTTTTCTGAACAATTTGAAAATGATTCCAAAAAATTTTTGAATCAAAGAGTTACGCCATAGATACACTATTGTTTAGATGGAACACCCTGTTTTTTTGTACTATTTTTGGAAAAGTCTCATTTTTTTACGTCTATTCTGTTGAAAATATTTGATATTTCGATAGATGTTTTTATTTTATTTCAATCTTTAATAATAATATTAATAATAATAATAATTTCAGCTTTACCTGTTAAATTTGATAGGTTCATAGGTGATAAAGGTATAATCTTAATTGTTTTCAACCAATGAGAATATCTTATTCTCATTACTCCACTATTTAAGAGCCAATCAGAAAATTCGGCAAGTTAGGCGATTCGAATCAGCTGATAATTCAAGATTGCGATGATGCCCGGAATGTAAACAAACATTGCTTCAATTATATTTTTCGTTCAGTAAACCTTGTTTTTGAAAACTATTTATTTTATTAAAAATTAAGAAGTTACAACAATAAATACTAGAATCTAAATTGCTGCGGCAAAAGCCCGAAAACAAAAGAATCTTGATTTTAATTGCTATAGTGTCAACTGAAAACAAAAGAATGAAACAGAAGGCTCCGCGCGCCGTATTTATATTAAAATGATGCCAAGCTTGCATTTGTGTGGGCGAAACCTTGATATGACGGTACTTTTCCAGGCTGATATCCCTTACTCAGCATCTTTATTATATCGTGGGCTTATTACAATGGCGTAGGCTTATGTTAAACATTGAAAAGGGGAATTATTTGCATAGTAATAACATAGGGCTTTGTAATATAGCTCCTCCATATAAATGTGTGTTATTTCTACCTGTTTCAGAGTTTAATTTTAATTTGATGAATTTTAATTTATTTTGAATTTTTTTTAATGTTCGTAGTTAAAACCGAGCTACCTACTTGGAATATTTATCTACCAATAAAATACCGGGACCTCAGATACAAAACGGACCCCAAGAAGTTGTGCAAATGAATGACAAAAACATAAATTACATGAACCACAGCAACGTCAAAAATAAAAAAATCTATCAAAAAACGTTCTAACTGATAAAAACACTTTGAGAAATTCACAGAAAATACAGTCTCTTATAGACGTCAAGTTGGTTATGCCGCGGCGCCAACTTGTAATCAGTTATTTGACAGCTGATTTGGACAAGACACAAGACTTGTGCCAACCTAACCTCACTTTGACCTTCAGCTGTCAGAATGGTCAATTAATTTTGTTACGAAAATAAATAAAAAATAAAAAACCGCATGACTCGTGTCTATTATCTATTAATCATAGAAAAAGTATAGTATTCTACTCATAAGTAATAACTATTACTCACTCAGCAAGTAATAGCCACCATTAATATGAAACATTTAAAAAAAAATAAAAACAGCTATTGGAATATCAAATATTCTCAATACAATAGACGTAAAAAAATGCGATTTTTCAAAAAATCATACAAAAAATAGGGGGTTCCATTTAAAAAACAGTTAATTCCGCACAACTCTTTGGTTGTTGGTTCCAATGATTTTTTGGTACCATTTTTGAATTTTCCAGAAAAAAATATTCCCATTGGCTATTTTGGATTTTCTCACAAATACAGGAAAAGTAAAAAATAAGCCCCTGTTCAGTTCTCGTTGAATGACCCTATACATAAAAACAAAACTATAGCTATTTACTATAGTGAAATTATTAAAATAATGGTTGCAGGTCATCAATTTTTAAACTCAGAGCGCATTTTCTCTTTTGTTAAACCCTAGTTAAAAAGAGATAGAATGCTGTCCGATCATATAACCGACTCTGCCGATAAAATGGGATTTAGGTTGGCACTCGTGGGTAATGTTGCCAATAGTTGCCTTCTACAAATCTTTGGTTATTGATTTTAATATTTTGAGTTTTGTTGTCAGTTTCTAAGGAGTCGGGGATTGATAGTTGATAGTTGATAATTTAATTTGCTAGAGAATTGTATTAATGGAATTTCGTTTTTTGGTTTTATCATTATTATCAATTTATTAGTAAAAATGTAACTTGGGAAAATGACAAACCTTATGGTATGTCAAAGTAAAACGAAGTTGATTCGGCAACATTGCGACATGCTAACGTCATAAATTTTGATCCCCCACATAAAGTCCGTCGATTTTAATCTGATACTCCAAAAAAATGTGAGCTGGTGGTTCCCAACGTTAGAACGCCAATGGTTACCTGACGTCACACCTGTTTTTGCCATATACTTCACCCCCTCGCCTCTCATACGGAAAGTATCAGATTAAAATCGACAGACAATACATATATACGAACTTTTTTGTGTTAGGACGTTTTCAGATGTCTGAGATGAAGATGATGCCATTTGAAAACGTTTGAGCTCATCAAGAAGGGGTTACGCATCGAGTAATATATTCCGTTTTTTCTAAAGTCTGTTTTTTTTTTAAAGATAATTCCCCAAGTCAAAAATTTAGTAACTATGTTAACAACACAAGCCTTTTCTACATAAAAAAATTGAAACCATTGACAATTTTACAATGTATTGCCAACATAATGTCATTTTGACTTTTATCTTTAAAAAACAGACTTTAGTAATGAGGAATACTTCTTATTTCTATTTTTGAAAGAATTTTAAATTTTAGCATTTGGAAATTGACAGTCCGGGAGCATAATGTATAAAAATAGCTTCCCGTGGCAATCTTAATGAAGGAAAGA